ATCCTGCTCATCCCATCCTGCTCGTCCCATCCTGCTCATCCCACCCTGTTCATCCCACCCTGTTCATCCATCCCATCCTGCTCATCCCACCCTGCTTGTCCCATCCTGCTCATCCCATCCTGCTCATCCCGTCCTGCTGAGGATCTCTGGGACACTCCCGGGGCCAGCAGGGGCTGACAGCAGGGACAGGACCGTGGTGATGGAGCTGCTGCTCCTCTCCAGCCAGGAGCTTCCAGCACAAACTCAGAGCATCCCTGCAGCCAAGCACATCCCTGCTGCCGCACCATTCCGGGCTGGATCCGTCCCTATGGAGTGCTGCCTTCCCGCACACCCGGGCCAGAGCAGATTGGGACTCTACTTTCCCTCCATCCCTTGTCCCAGGTCCCTCTCCAGCTCTCCTGGAGCCCCTTTGGGCCCTGCAAGGGGCTCGGAGCTCTCTCTGGATCCTTCCCTTCTCCAGCTGAACACCCCCGGCTCTCCCAGCCTGGCTCCAGAGCAGAGGTGCCCCATCCCACACGGAATCCTTTAGGTTGGAGATGGCAAGAGGTGCCCGTTGGTTTGGCACAGACCTTGGAAGCAGCGGGATGCTGGGAGCAGGGATAAGCTCTGCCAGGGCTCTCACCTGACATTCCACAGAAAATTCCCGCTATTCCCTTAAAATTATCAGCCCTTGCTGTGGGCACAACAGAGTCACACAGAGCCGAGGAGGCTGGCAGGGAAAAAAAAAAAAAAAAAAAGAAAAAAAAAGGGAGAAAAAAAAAAAAAAAAAAAAAAAAAAAAAAAAAAGGGAAAAAACGCCTGGAAAAGTGTTGCTGTGCACGGCTTCGGTGTCTCCATGGCTACGGGAGCTCGCGGCAGACGTTCCCGGGGAACTCGGACGTGCCGGTGCCAATGGAGACCGCGGGGCTCGTCCCCGCCGGGCAGGTCCCGCTCCCATCCCAGGGGAGCCGAACAAACGCCAGGAGAGATCCCGTCCCACGGCGCCGGGATGGAGGGAGCCGCCGGTCCGGCACGTTCTCAAAGCAAAGCCGAGCCGGTGTTCCCGGGAATGCTGTGCCTGTATTCCCGGGAATGCTGAGCCTGTGTTCCCACGGAAAGCTGAGGCTGT